GAAGGCATGGAGATGGTGACAGAGGAGGACAGCAGGAGAGAGAGAAGGCATGGAGATGGTGACAGAGGAGGACAGAGTGGGAGAGAGGAAAGGCATGGAGATGGAGACAGAGGAGGACAGAGTGGGAGAGAGGAAAGGCATGGAGATGGTGACAGAGGAGGACAGCAGGAGAGAGAGAAGGCATGGAGATGGAGACAGAGGAAAGCAGAGCAGAAGAGAGGGGAGGAATGTAGAATGGAGACATGAGGACAGAGCAGGGCTAACATGGGGGAGAGGGGAGGCATGGAGATGGGGAGACAGAGGGGGGCTGAGCAGGGTTAACAAGGAGAGCCATGGGATAAGGTGGAGATCGTGGAGTAAGCAGAGTAACTCCACCAGTTTAACCTCTCATTTGGCCCAGTGTTTACACACAGTGTTTCTCAACAATATGGTTTGTCTTGGAGTAATGTAACTACAGGAGCTACTGAAGCGCAATGGACATCTGTCACTCAGATGGCCATCCTCAGAATGGATGCACACACTTCGTATCAATTTGCTTTTCTGTGTTGCAAGCATGGGGGAGCAAATGTTGGGGTCTCCCTGGAGTCCAGGTTGTATGTTCCATATTTGGGAGCTTATTTTTGGGCTTGCTCTGGAGTCTGGGTTGTGTGTTTTTGAGTTTACTGGTTGGATCTTAGGAATTATAAATTATTTTTGCCATCCCGCCTCCTGGCTTTCCTCCTCTTTTCCTATGGTTTTTCCCCTCTTGCTTCTTAGTTATTCTTCTTCATTTCTCCTATTTTTCTCCCTCTTGCCTCCTGGTTTTCTCCCTTGCTTTTCCAGGTTTTTCTTCCTATTGTCTCCTAGTTTTTCTCCCTCTTGCTTCTTGGTTTTTCTCCCTCTCACCTCCTGTTTTTTTCTACCCCGTCTCCAGATTGTTCTCCATCTCACCTCCAGGTTTTTATCCTGGCTCCTGATTTTTCTCTTTCCTTTCTCTTGGTTTTTCTCCCTGTAACCTCCTGTTTTTTTTCTCCTGCCTCCTTGTTGTTCCTTCTCCATTTCCCTGATTTTTAACCCTCTCTCCTACTGGTTTTTCTCCCTCCCGCCTCCTGTCGTACTCCCTCCTGACCTCCTTGTTTTTCTCCCTGTCGCCTCCTGCACACACCCACCTCGTCATTTTTCTCCCCTCCTTCTGGTTTTACTTCCGGTCACATCTTTGTTTTCTCCCCTCCCTCCCTGTAAGTAATTATTAATATTAATGTCTCTATCTTCACTCATCTCTCTTTTTTCCCTCTGCCTCTGCAGCTGTTCAGTACTCCTTTATCAGTGCTGGTAAATCCTTGTCCTCTTTTCACTGCCATACAGGAATCCATGTGCCTCACAATCTCTGTCCTGCTCCCTTTACCATGTCACATTCATCCACATTCATTCATGTCACATCACCTGTTCTCACTTTTATTACCGTACTTGCACTTACTGATGGCAGCTTGATACCACTCAACGTGCTTATCTATCATCACTCAAGTGTAAATAGCCTGGAAATAAGTACTGAACCATGTATTAGTGCAGCAGTATTTAGCTAGACCGCTCACTACAATGGCAAGGTAGTGTAGGATCAACTCTAACTGTCAGCCTTAGCATCCTAGGAATTTGTTGCACTGGCATGAATCATACATACATACTGAAAACTAAAAGTATGACGTATTTTTAATATTGATTATTATTTTGTGACTTGCAAATGTTTCACTTTGCTCTTTGCTTGTTGAAAACATGTCTGAAATATTGTGTCAATCTTTTCCCTTTTTGGCCTGTGCTAGACTCATGCTTTAGATATAGATGTTCTCGGTTGGATAGTACTGTACAGTCCGTCTGTGGGTAGTGAAACACACCATATGAAACAGCCTTCAGCGTATGTCTGTTTTGCTAACTTGGTGTGCCACAGGTTCCTAATTCAGCTGGGCTGCTTAGCTTATATAAGATCTCATTGTGAAGGTGCTGATTTGTTTGCATTCCCAAACTATGCCAGCACAGTGTACTTGAGCTGTATAAAACAAGTACTGATGGTGGTGCAGAAGGATTATAGTATGTGTACTTACCTCTCTCTTTCTCTCCCTTTACAGTAACTATTTTTTCCATACCCGAATCCTGAAGAAAAAGGACAAAGATCACTATTACATTACTCCATTAACAAATTGCATTAAAAACCAGGCAAATGTGATATTTTGGAAGTAGAAACAAATAAAAACGTGCACCGGGACTGACTGGATTTTCCTGCCTGGAATAGACCCATCAGCACACCTGCAAAGGGGAGGGTCATGACCCAGTTGCCATGCGCATCGTCACGGTGACCAGCCTTTCCAGCCCCTCTCCCCTCCTCCTCTTGCTGGGCCAGCTGCTCTTGTGGCTCCTCCTACCTAGGCCAGGATTGGTAGGGGCTGCTTCATCCTGCCCTGGCCCCTGTAGTTGTTCAAATCAGGCCAGTCGAGTCATTTGTACACGACGGAATTTGGAGGAGGTGCCAGAAAGTATATCTATCAACACACGATACCTCAACCTGCAGGAGAATTCCATACAGGTAAATATGCTTCGAATAGGGTCTTGCATTATCTTTGATCTTCTTCTTGTGCACTGTGTCTTTAACTTTTTCATTACTACCTTCTACTAGGTGATCAAATCGGATACCTTCAAGCACCTGAGACATCTGGAGATTTTACAGCTGTCAAAGAACCAGATTCGGCAGATTGAGGTGGGGGCCTTCAACGGCCTACCAAACCTCAACACTCTGGAACTCTTTGACAACCGACTCACCCTGGTCCCATCCCTGGCCTTTGAGTACCTCAGCAAACTCCGTGAGCTATGGTTACGCAACAACCCCATAGAGACGCTGCCTGGCTACGCCTTCCACCGTGTGCCCTCCCTGCGGCGGCTTGACCTGGGAGAGCTCAAGAAGCTCGATTACATTTCCGATGCTGCCTTTGTGGGACTGGTGAACCTACGCTACCTGAACCTTGGCATGTGTGGCCTGAAGGACATTCCCAACCTCACACCGCTCATCCGGCTGGAGGAGCTGGAGTTGTCTGGCAATCGTCTAGAGATCATCAGGCCCGGATCCTTCCAGGGTTTGGTGTCCCTTCGCAAGCTCTGGCTCATGCACTCCCAGGTGTCCGTTATTGAGCGCAATGCCTTTGACGACCTCAAGAATCTGGAGGAGTTGAACCTGTCACACAACTCCCTGCACTCGCTACCGCATGACCTGTTCACCCCGCTACACCAGCTGGAGAGGGCACACCTGAACCACAATCCTTGGGTGTGCAACTGTGACGTGCTGTGGCTAAGTTGGTGGCTGAAGGAGACAGTGCCCAGTAACACCACCTGCTGTGCTCGCTGCCATGCACCACCCGTGCTAAAGGGAAGGTATATTGGGGAGCTGGACCAGAGCCACTTCACTTGCTATGCACCCGTGATCGTGGAGCCGCCAACCGACCTGAACGTCACGGAGGGAATGGCGGCCGAGCTCAAGTGCCGAACAGGAACCTCGATGACATCGGTGAATTGGATCACACCCAATGGCACCCTCATGACCCATGGCTCCTACAGGGTCAGAATCTCAGTGCTGCATGACGGCACACTCAACTTCACCAACGTCACGCTCCGGGACACGGGGCAGTACACATGCATGGTGACCAACTCTGCGGGCAACACCACAGCAACTGCCGTGCTCAACGTGACCGCTGCAGACGTCAGCATCAACTACACCTACTTTACCACTGTCACCGTGGAAACCGTGGAGACTAATGGAGAGGAGAATTCAGCCCGGCAGGACATAAATGAGACTTTCATCCGGATTCCTGGATCCACTACTGGAGATATTTGGGGTGCTGGGACAACTCTGGCCACAACATCTTCTTCAATCTCACCTTCCTGGTCCTCCTCTTCTCCCAGAGCTACTAAGTCTACAGAGAAGGCCTTTACTGTACCTATAACAAACATTCCCAAAATGCCTGGCCTCGATGACGTTATGAAGACCACCAAAATTATCATCGGCTGTTTTGTGGCCATCACTTTTATGGCTGCGGTAATGCTGGTTGTTTTCTACAAGCTGCGGAAGCAGCACCAGCTGCACAAGCACCACGGCCCGGCAAGAGCTATTGAGATCATCAATGTGGAGGACGAGATCGGTGGCGGGGGAAGTGGTGGACGAGGTAGTGGGATCTCCGGGGGAACCACCATGCATTCTGGGAGTGTGGGAAGCACAGGTGGTGGGCAAAGTCTGCGGTTACACCATCCGGAACTTGTCAACCTCCCCAACCTAGCTAAAGCTGATCATCTCAACCACTATTACAAGACACATCATTTCAACAACAACATGATGGGCATGGGCATTGGGGCAGGGCCTACAGGAGGGGGGGCACTCAACAACAACAACAACCCGTCTCCACTCTCCCCGCCCTCCCAGACTCCTCCCATCTCCTGCAGCCAGGTCCCAATGTCCTCTTCCAGCTTGCAGACCCCCTCCGGAAACAGTGCCATGCCCACCCCCCTGCCTCTGCCCCCGATGAGCCTCCATGCCCCCCTGAAGGGCCTGATGGGAAAAGGCCAGAAGCCTCAGATGGAGCCGCTGCTGTTTAAGAGCAGCTCCAAGGAGAATGTCCAGGAGACGCAGATCTGAAAGGGGGACAGAAAGAGACCAGAGAGTACTGCTTCTGCTGATGGCACTGGTTGGGAGGTGATTGGCATAGGGGGGGTGGGGGCATCCAATACAGTATGAACATAGAGGCACTGCTGTGCATTGGCAGAGCGCCCCCCTGCCAGCAGATTCCAAGGGCCGGTACTGTGTGCACTCAAATGGGACAGTGTGATACACTGGCACTCTGCTGATGTGAGTGCTCGTAAAAACCAGTGAGATTAATCTGTGGACCTTTCGACAAGGCGAGCTATCTGTGCCACCGCAGTGCTGAACTGTGCCAAAGTGAGCAGAGGAAGGACAAAAACAAGCCTTTTCATTTAGTTTGCATATCAGCACCCTGGAGCCACCAGGGTGGGCCAGAAACACAGAGGCGTATTATACAGTACTACAGTACTACTCCCATACTACAGCCCATAATGCAGCCACGTTGACAGAACACAGACCTAGTCCAGACCACAGGACTGTACTACAACCCATAACACGGCCCCTTTAACAGAAGACAGACCTAGTCCAGACCACAGGACTGTACTACAACCTATAACACGACCCCTTTAACAGAAGACAGACCTAGTCCAGACCACAGGACTGTACTACAACCTATAACACGGCCCCTTTAACAGAAGACAGACCTAGTTTAGACCAGAGGCCTGTACTACAACCTATAATACAGCCCATTTGACAGAACACAGGCCTGGTTTATATCACAGGATGGCACTACAACCCATAATACAGCCCTTTAAGAGAACACAGACCTAGTCCAGACCATAGGATGGTACTACAGCCCATAATATAGTCCCTTTGACAGAACACAGGCCTAGTCCGGACCACAGGACGGTACTACAGCCCATAATACAGTCCCTTTGACAGAACACAGGCCTAGTCTAGACCATAGGACGGTAAAACAGCCCATAATACAGTCCCTTTGACAGAACACAGGCCTAGTCCAGACCATAGGACGGTAATACAGCCCATAATACAGTCCCTTTGACAGAACACAGGCCTAGTCCAGACCACAGGACCATATTACAGCTCATGATACAGCACTGCACCTTGGGTTTAGGCAACAGGAAGGTTTATTTTTTCAGAATTTTTGTCAGTCATTCCCTCTCCCTTCTCTACACCCAATGGACTTTGCTGAACAAGATGAAGAACAGGAGAAGAAAGAGAGGAACTATGAAGAGAAAACGATGGAAAATCCTAAACGAGTCAAAGCTAAAATGCATACAGTATAAGAGAGTATATGAAATACATACAGTATATGAGAGTATATTTTCATTTGAAGAAAAGAAATGATGGAGTCTTTAACAAAGCCACAAACTGAAGAGCATCAGAGCTGCTATCAATACAGCTGTTATTATTACTGTTATTATCATTAATAATATTATGACAAATATTATGTCACTCATGTTTTTTTATTGTTTTGATATCCTGGAGAAGGGGGGTTGGAAATGGAATGAAACAGAAGGCAAACCTTGGCTTGGTTAGCTGGTTAGCTGCCTAAACCTTGGCTGGTTAGCTGGGTAGCTATCCTAAAATCGATTATGAAGGTGATTCCCGTTAGATGTGCCAGACAGAGCGGATTGAGGTGGCGCTGCGCTGGGCCTGGCTGCCCACTCGCCGCACACACGCTCGCTCCCGCTTCACGCCTTAGTTCCCAGGTAGCGAAGGTTAGCGACACACTCGTCACACACCGCTGTGTTACTCTGCGCCATGTACAGGTAGTCGCCATGGCAACAGGAGCGCCGTGACCGCGCGGCGTGAGCTCACGCCACACAGGCGCCTCTGCTGTCTGCATCTCCATCTGCAGCTCCATCTCCCTCCGTTTGCCCTGGTGTTGCTGTGATTCCGTTTGTAGCTTTCAATAACACGGCTTCGTTAATCACAGGAATGACCTTGCGTTCAGCCCCTTCGGTGATTTTTACTTTCTTTGTGTTCATGGTTAACAAATTAACACAAAAATGGTTAAAAAAAATAATAAAACGAGATGGCCACTGATGAAAGAGGAGGAACACCCCAACCCCGCCCACCCCACACACCCCCGGCCAATCAGATAGGGCTGCAGCATCCACTTTGACCCGCCCTGTTGTTTTGAATGGCATCTGCCTCAGCCAGTCAGGATCAGAAACTGCCAGAATGGCACTTGGTTGATTACATTGGGACTGAACAGCACAATAAGGACTCACAGGGAGAATGGACAGCCAAAGTAAGACAGGACAGTTTTCCACAAGGTAAGCACCTTCACTCAGTGCAAGAGGGACTAGATTGAAACAGCCTGTGGATTTTTTAATAATAATGGACAAATCATTGAAGAAATATAAAAATTATAGAAAACAAACAAAACCATCACAAATATAACAGGTGTTTTTGATTTTTATCCTGTTTTATTTTTGTTTTTTAATCCACTGTTCTCTTAATTGTAATATTGTTCTTGTTATGATTAGCTAATATTATGGTTCTTATTAGGAGAAGTCTTCTGGGGGGGCAAATGCTCTGAGGGGGTGTGAGGCCCATGTGGGGGGGGGACTCTGACAGGAGCCTGCCCACTGCGCCATGCCCAACACCATCCCTGTTTCCATGACAACTCACCGTGAAATTGCTGCATCGCAGCGCATGAGCCCCCGCCACAACTCAGCCCTGATCATGACATCACACGCAGGATGGGGACCCGATGGTGCTGCTTCCCAAGCGAGTGTGCCCAAGTCTGAGGGGGAAAACAGTGGTGGATGGCCAGACCAATCAAACGAGGCGATGGAGAAACCTGTGCCTGTGTGAGAGTGATTTCGATTGGTAGAAAGTTGTGATGTCATGAACCAGGAGAAGGGTTCAGCTGCTGTTGGAGCACCGTGTAAGGGTCAGGGGTCACGAGAGAGTGTCATCAGCCCTGGGTTTTCACGTTATGTTTGGTTATTTAGTGTGTAATTTTGTTGTTCTTGATGTGGGAAACAGTGCAGTGACAGGGGTGAGGGCCCTGGGTGGAGGCCCCAGGGCCCGCCAGCAGACACCCCAGTGCGGGCATCCTGTGCGCAGGCTTCCTGAGTGTCATGTGTTTCTTTCTGCTGCCTCTGGCTGCTCTTCCTTCAGTACCCATCAGTACCAGGGTGGGTTTGGCAGGAGAGCTGGTGGGGCGGAGGGGGGCCACTCCATCCGCCTTAAGACCACCAGTCAGTCTCATTTGTGTTTCTTCTGCCTCCGCAGCACACGGTGGGTGTGTCTGCTCCATTCCCAGAATGCCTCTTTTTCCCAGCATGCCATGTGGAGACCGGGCCTGGAACCTGCAAAGCTGAAGCATCCTGAGGTACCCAGAGCTGAAATAGACACAGCTTCACAGGAGCAGGGGCCAACCTGCTGGGGAATTCTGGAAAAGTGCAGAGATGCCATGAAGGCCGGCCTGCTGGGGAATTCTGGAAAAGCGCCAGGTTGCTGCAAGGGCTGGCCTGCTGGGGAATTCTGGGAGAGCCTAGGTTCACCATGGGGGGCTGGCCTGCTGGGGAATTCTGGGAAAGTGCAGGGTCGTCACATGGGCCGGCCTGCTGGGGAATTTTGGGATAGCACAGGGCTAACACAGAGCTGACCCACTGGGGAATTCTGGGATAGGAAGGGCCACCACAGGGCCAGCTTAGCATGGAATACTGGGAAAGTGAGTGGTTTCCACAGGGCAGGCCTGCTGGGGGAATTCTGGTATTGTAGAATGTATTTAGCTACTGTTTCTGTTACTATGTTCATCATATGCAGCTTCTGTATTGTGCAATGGCTGTGTTGTCAGAGTTTGTTGGTTGGTGGCTGCCCAACAACAAGAATGAGCAGTATAGCTAAGCGGAGGCCAAAGCCCTCTGTCTGCATAGCAATGCCCTGCAGGGGGCAGCGGTGTGCACACTGTCACTCCCATCGCATTTGAAGTTTGTGGATGAAAGTGATTCACATGCACTTGCTAATTGCTATTGAAATTGCACCATTTATACTAATTAAATGTATTAAAGGAATGTAACAGAGATGGGAAAGGCTGGGAGCTGGTGGCTGGCAAAGGAGGCCATTCTCTGTGCCGACCAGTGACGCCTGGATCTCCTCACCTTTAGCCTGTCATGTGACTCCTGTCCATATGCAGACGCCTGTGTCCCTCTGTTTTGGGATGGCTGTTCCAGGTGTCTGGATCTCTTTGAGAGCTGATGGAATCAGGGAACGTGAAGGAGTTGCATTTCATCTCCTGGTGTGATGGACGCCACGGCGGGACGTGGCAAACTGCTTTTTTTCTAAAGAGCGACCAGGGCTATCAGGGCACGGCGATGTTCAAGAAGTCAACCCCAGAGGGCGACGCTGCACTCTCAAAGCGGACATGTCAGTGTTTACACACCACTTACTTCTCGTCCAACAGCGGTGACTGTTCAGGATGCTCTTAGGTTTGTGTGTAATGTCATGCAATAAACTGGGAATCCTGCAGCTCCTCTGCACAGCGCCCCTCAGTGGACGGGCTGAGTGTGATTGAGTGTCGGGACGCAGTAATGCAGAGCTGGCAGGACGGCAATGCTCTAGGGGCCTACAGGATCTGGAGTGTTTAGTCTCACAGCTCTCTGTCCATTAATTAAGGTTGTTGTTTGTGTGACAGTCGCCTTTTGCACATCTGCATCATTCACTTTAAGGGCCACTGGCTAGTTTTTAATAGAGAAATGCAGGTGAAGCTATTTTCTGTCCAGACAATGACTTTAATTAGTGAACTGGAACGCATGACCCCCCCCCACCCCCAGGAGTGGGGCCGCTGTGGGCACACTGGAGTGTCTCTGTGGCAGAGCTTAAGGCGCATTTCCAATACACCACTGTCCCAGATACACACTATGCAGCTGATGCTATGTAGGTTGGGGGGGGGGGGGTGATTTAAGGAATGTTTCCTGTGAGACTGTGAGCCTCACCTGGGGCAAAATGTGGCATCATGTACGGACAGACAGAGCCAGACAGACAGAGAGAGGCCAGTGTACAGCCATCCGCACCTGGCATTGCCGTCACACTGACACGATGTTCAGCTCTGTATTTCGGGAGGGATTCCTTTGTCATTACAGGCCTGATCCTTCCTCTTTCCCTTTGCCTCGTCCTGGTTCCCTGTCATTTTCTTGTTTTTGTCACTTCTTTCTATTTTCTCTGCTATGATTATTCTTCAGTCTGAGTGAGTCAGTCGTGTTTTCTTGCAGCTTAGGGCTGTGAGTCTATTAGCACAGACACTGGGACCACCCCCCCTGAAGCCAACTAGATGGGGTATGAGATACAAGGGAGCAGGCCGCTCCCCCTGGCTGTGTATCCCTCACGCTGAGCTTGGTGGGGTCCTCCAGGGTGACCAGCAGCACGTGCTCTGCCTGACCCAGGCTGCTGGGGCATGCTGGGTTCCTCCTCCAATTCACCCTCCCTTAGATAAACGGAAAGACGGCTTTCTAAGAGGTTTGGTGTTTGCAGAGAAGGTCCTCAGTCTCACTGCTTGGCTGTGTAGCCCTCTTATAGGCAGGCAGACAGACAGACAGGCAGACCGACAGACAGACAAGAATGCAGGCAGACAGACAGACATGCAGGCAGACCGATAGGCAGATGGATAGTTAGACAGACAGACAGACATGCAGGCAGACTGATAGGCAGACAGGCAGATGGACAGGTAGGCAGACAGACAGGTTAGACAGACAGACAGACATGATGCTGAGGACACCACCACCCCCTTCCTGCCCCCTCCTCATTCTCACCTCATTCTTCTCTCAGGAACGACACACGACACCACAAAAGACCGTACCACACAGCAACATGCCTTCTGTGCAATTAAACATGAGCTCTATCTGTCCCTGTGCACCGTTCTGGAAACATCTGAGTTGTTGCTGTTGCAGTTGTATGTTATGACACTCTTACAACCAACAGAAAGTTGCAATGTCCAAGGGGGCAGGTATGTAGTGATACAGGTATGTTCTGGGGAAAGGTCAAACTTTTGTGCCAAACTTTTTTTTTTCTGATCATCAAATCTCTGTTAATGTGCCACACTAAGCAATTTATGGAATTAAAATTAAGTCTTTTATACAAAATAACAGATGATGGTGGTCCTTTAAAGTTCCTTTAACACAGCACACTTTGTACATGTGTGTGTATGTTTTGATGCTAAGCTGACTAAAAACAGTGTTTCTGTGTGTTAAAGAGGTGTCCATATTAGTGTGTCCATCTACATGGTAAACTGGGAACTCTCTATGAATTTAAGCCATCTCATCTTCATGGATAGGTAGTTCTGGGCTGCCTGGTCTAGTAGTAGGCTAGTGCATCTTGAACATGGTGCACAGTCCAGCAGGTCTTCAAGAGGGTCAAGAACATCCTGGAAACCATCCGTGGCCAATGCTGCTCCTGAAAGAGTAGAATCCATGGACAGCACGTGGTGTCCTGATGATCAGGATGAAGGACACGCAGTGCTGGAGGGCAGAAGATGGATTTTACTCACTCAAGGTTTATATAACCCCCCCCCTTTAAAAAAAAGAAAAACATCAGATATGGAAAGAGCACTACAAGCAGTCCCAGGTAACACCATTAAAAAACAGCCCTGGGGGGTGCCCAGGCAGTCCTACGGTAAGCAGTGGCTGGTGAGGGCACTTTAGCCTACGGCGTTAAAGGATACCCAGGTGATGATAGATTGAGAATTGGAAAAGGAGGTCATTCTTTCTCGCTAGAAGAGGACAGTTGTTGCAGTATTTGTGCAGCTGTTGCTTTCTCCCTCTGTCTTGTTCCCTTGCTCCCTTTCTTCCTCTCTGTCTCATTCCCTTGCTCCCTTACTTGCTCACTCTTGTTCCTCACTTCCAGGCTGCATCTCTCATCACAAGGGATGCCTACCTTAAACAGTGGCAAGGGGACTTCAGCCCGGGGCGCTTCTTCCTTCTGTTCTTCCTTCACTCCATCCCTGCCTGATTCTTTTGCTCCAGAATTTCATCACTCTCCTGTTTCATCCCTCCCTCTCATTTCATTTCTCCCTTGCTGTCTTTTTCTCCTCCTTTCTTGCTCTATTCCTCCTTCACTTTCTAGCCCCTTCTCTCCATCCCTCCTCAGCGGGCTGTTTGGTTAGACCCCACCCTAACCCTCATTCTCCAGCCCGCTTACCGCTCTCCTGACCGTGTTTCTTACCGCTTGATAATGCTTCTCTGTGTCTCTCTGCTTCTCTTCCTCTCTCCTGCTTGTCCCCAGAAGGACTTGGTTTTCCTCTGGGGGAAATGGGAGTGTGGATCAAGGTCAGAAGACGCCATATTGATTGAACAGTGAGCAGGAGGATGAGCAGGATGACGAACAGAAATACGCATCACACATAACACACATGAAATACTGTGTTTATGGACTGGAGGGAAAGAACTGAAAAACAGGAAGGAGAGAAAACTGACATGGGAGAGGGAGAGAGATAACTGACAGGCGGGAGAGGGTGAGAATTGAGGAAGAGGAGGGAGAAAACTGACAGAGGAGTGAGATCTGACAAAGGAGGGAGAGATAACTGACAGGTGGGAGAGTGAGAACTGAGAAAGAGGAGGAAGAAAACTGACAAAGAGGAGTGAGAGAACAGAAAGGAGGGAGAGAGATAACTGACAGCTGGGAGAGAGTGAGAACTGAGAAAGAAGAGAGAGAAAACTGACAAAGGAGTGAGAGAGATAACTGACAAAGAGAAAGGAGAGTGATAACTTACAAAGATGGGGGAGAGAACTGATAGAGCTGGGTGGAAGGTAACTGACAATGAGGTGAAGGACTGTGAAGTGATAAAGAGGAGGGAGAACTGATGAACAGGAGGGAGGGAGAGAACTGAAGAGGAGGGAGAGAGAGAACTGACAAAGATTTAATTATCTTTGATAATTAAACTAGAAAGGAAATGGAGGAAGAGAGCAGGGTAGGAGGAGGAAGGGACAGGACCGGACAGAAAAGGAGGGACATTTATTATTATTATTATTATTATTATTATTATTATTATACATGAGAGTGCCTCGTCACTATCGTATCGTAAGCTTTAGCATTAGCATTGTCTTCTTGTAACGCTCCCACCTCCCTTCCCCTTCTCTGCTGTGGCCTCCCTCTCTGTCTTGCTGCAGTGTTGCTATGGTGACTGAGAAATGTGGGAACACCTCTGTCCTTCACAGGCAATGGGGGGTGGGGATGAATGCATGCAGCCTGACTGAGCAAACAGCCCAGAGCCTCACTGGGGCACTTTAAAACACACTCATTCATTTCAATCATCATGCACCCAACACAATAACCATGCAGTGATCATGCAATGAGTCTTCCCTGTACACACCCTGAGTGTGTGTCTGACACACAGCGGGCACTTGAGTGTGTGTCTGGCAGGACTTTGGCGGCTGCAGTTTTGCCGCTCAATTTGCTATGAGCCGCGTTCCTTTATGCATGTGCCCTTCTGCGTGTTTCTGTATCCATGCGTTTGCTGCCTCTTCATTCTGCTGCTCATACTGAGACTGCTGTTTCCATGACAACCAGCACCTAAAATAGCCCTCTCCTCCTTTTCCTTAGTATGTTTCTCACCCTCCCCCCCCCAACGCAAAATATCCCCCCAAGCAGTGCTAATGTTCTGCAATGTTCAGGCAGTCTGTGTGTCTATACCTAGCCTCTCATCCTCTGTTTCTCTGCAAACATCCTTTCTACATTTATTTTACTGGCAGCTTGAGTTTCCATGGAAACATATTGAAACCATGGCAACAGTTTGAACTCAGCCAAACACTCTTTGAAAACTGCTGCATTCACACTCTCCGTCTGCCCTGTGCCTCCAGTGAGAGCAGCACTGGTGCAGGCGTGTGCATTTGGGCGTGTGCATTTGGGCGTGTGCATGTGCATGTGTGTTGAGACTCGGCAGCCAGTCGACCCTCTTCCAGCAACCCGAGTCTGCAGACAGCATCTTCCCTCGTTTTGGTGAGTCTGTTGTTCTGGCTAAATATGGCAGATAGATGTGGACAGGAGTACAGAGTGTGGACACACTACAGGGAAGAGAAACAGGCTCGGTGGCAGCAGGGGTGAGTGACATCGGGTGTTCCTGGTCACCTATGTCATTGATGTCTCTCCCAGCTGCAGAGCTTTGACACAGCAAACCTTTGGTAGAGAGCCAGTCGTTCAGGGGGAATCCGAACCAGCCGCTACGGGATCATGACCAATTTCAGGCTGCTGTCATTGCTGTCTTTATGTCAGAAATACAAGTAAATCATTTGTAAGCGATATTTCAGGCACTATCCTTCTGTCCGAGTGGCTGATTTATAACATGCCACCACTGGCACATATTTTGAGTAAACCACTGACTCTGAGCTCATTCCACTGCCATCAATACCAACAGTCTCAAGCTCTGAGCTGGAATTGACCACAGCCATGACAAAAGCTGTTCATGTGAGGACTAACAGCGCACATCCCACCGAACACAAAACACGCTGGACAGCTAGGCTCTCCTTGGTAGTATTTATCTCAGGATAGTTTGTAGACATAGATACACACTATTTCTTAGCTTTGAACCACCCCTCCTTTCTCCTGAGAGCATTTACATTCATTCTTCAAACACAGGCCAGCCAAGAAAAATACATTTCAGTTAAATTACCAAAGGCACCATTTTTAAAAAGTTAGCTCACACAAAAAACACAGAAAGCTCTGGAAAAACAACCCGCCTACGAAGTGAGTCGATTTACTCTCATTATCAGCATCATCGTCATCATCATCACTGGAATCAGCTTCCCAGTGCTGCAGACTGCATGGGTGTGTGTGTGTGTGTGTGACCAAATGGCCCCCACGATGTAATAAAGACCTGTTTTTTGACATTGTGGGGACAATTTTTCAGGTTCCCACAAAGATCTGTGAATGCAATCAAAAAAGTAAAAATGTCAGAAGTCTCAATTTTGTTTGGTTACTTATCGTTAAGGTTAGGGTTGGGTAGGGGTTAAGGTCTTCATGTTGTGATTAGAGATTTCCTCATAAAAAGGAATGGAGAGTCCCCACAAAGATATAATTACAAACTCATGTGTGTGTGTGTGTGTGTGTATATTACATTGTGGGGACCAAAAACCCATTATTTTGACATTGTGGGGACCATCACAAGCGGAAACTCAAATTTAATAAAATCTGTGACTGCACTCAAAAAACTGCAAATGCCAAAAATATTGTATTTTGTTTCATTATTTATGGTTAATGGGTGGTTAGGGGGTAAGGCTGACATTGTTGTGATTAGGGTTTTTCCCGTAGAAATTAATGGAAGTTATGAATACAAAAATGTGTGTGTTTGTGTGTCAAAGTCAGTAAGTATGTATGACAGGCAAAATGTCAGCTGACGTGTGACAGCCAGTCAGTGTGTGTATAACAGTCAATGAGCTTGTCTGACAGTCAATATGTGTGACGGTCAGTAAGTCTGTTTGCATGTATGACAGTCAGTGAGTGTGTGTGACAGTCAGTAAACGTGTGACAGTCAGTCAGTGAACGTGTATGATACTCAGTGAGTGTGTGTGACAGTCAATAAACATGAGTGACAGACCGTCAGTGAACGTGTGTGATACTCAGTGAGTGTGTGTGACAGTCAGTAAACATGTATGACAGTCAGTCAGTGAGCATGTGTGACAGTCAGTGTGTCAGTTAACATGATTGACAGTCAGTGAGTGTGTGTGACAGTCAGTAAGATAGTTAACATGTGTGACAGTCAGTAAATCAGTCAACATGAGTGACAGTCAGTCAGTGAGCATGTGTGACACTCGGTGAGTGTGTGTGACAGTCAGTAAACATGTGACAGTCAATGAACGTGTATGATACTCAGTAAGTGTGTGTGACAGTCAGTAAACATGAGTGACAGTCAGTCAGTGAGTGTGTGTGACAGTCAGTAAACATGAGTGACAGTCAGTCAGTGAGTGTGTGTGACAGTCAATAAACATGTATGACAGTCAGTCAGTGAGCATGTGTGACACTCAGTGAGTGTGTGTGACAGTCACTGTCAGTTAACATGTATGACAGTCAGTCAGTGAGCGTATATGACAGCCAGTGAGTGTGTGTGACAGTCACTGTCAGTTAACATGTATGACAGTCAGTCAGTGAGCGTATATG